AATCTTCAATCAGAATGCTTAAATGATTCATTTAGCATTCAAAGTTCCATATTCAAAATCTCAAACCAACTGATACTGGCGAGTACTCTTGCAGTGTGAAAGGGGAAAAGTTGCTTGACACGATTTATCTCTTTGTTAGAGGTGAGTTCAATCATAGATTTAACAGGTTTTCATACTTTGCAATCAGGCTTGTAAGCGGAAAAAAAGCAAAAAATTGAATATCTGTTTTCAGTTTCAAAGAAAAAGTCAACAAGCAGCTAAACAACAGCAGCTACGTTTTTCCCTCGCAGCGCATAGCTGCCTCATTCGTTGGATTTTGCTTTGAAAGTCAAAAGATATTCAATCTTCCGCTTACAAGCCTGTTCACAATCGAATTTTCATATATTTGTGGTGTGAACACGTTCCTGCAGAACAAAGATCCCTGGTTGACAGTGAAACTTAAAGAATTCCATGTTCCATGTCGAACATCTTCACCAATTCAACGCATTTATTTTTTAAATCTTACTACAATGAGATTTTTGAGGTGAAAAGATAAAACTGTTTATTGGTGACAAAGAATTGAATGAGGTGTGCACAATTGGAAAGAATTTTGTCAATCTGAGTGAGGTCAGACAGCTCAAGTAGGTTACTAATCAATGAATTTACTAAACAAGGGCAAGATTTCAAATCTCAGACAAATTCGTTTCAGAAACCACAATCAAACTGACCAAATGAGATGTATCACAGTATGGAAAACCTATAATCCGGGGTTAATTTACTGACAAACTTAACTTTGTCTAGCAGCTTTAGTGAAGGTTTTTTCATCACCTCAAGCGAGATTCCACTCAAATGGAGTCAAGTCAATAATAAACGATTTCGATGTGAATATGAAGGAGAAAGCGTCGAGTTTTTGATACGGGTAAGAGTAATGGCAAACAGTAATGACATGTTTTTCAAATTTTAGGCTACAAAATCGATCCCGAACTTCAAAGGTAAGGCTAAATCTTGATGGCAAGCGGCTTAACAAGTTCTAGATCCAATTTAAATTAAACAAACGCATAATGTTCATAGGTCGAACAGCCACAGTGAAATGTGTCTTATCAAGCCAGCAGACATAACTATGGGTGCAGTGGCTTAGCGATCACCATTTTTAGCCGAGCGCGCTGTCAAGCGTTTTGGGCGTCCACGGTGGCGACCAAGTAAGCATCATCGAGTTCATCCCAGACTTTCAGGAGACTTTTCTTCAAACTTTCAACTATTTTATGAGGTTTTGAGCAGACTTTTGCCTCAAGGACGGACCAGACTGAATAATCTATTGGATTGAGATCTGGGTGGCCATTCAGAAAAAGAGATGAAATCGGGAAGCTTCACTTCGCAAATCTTGAACTCTTTACTTTGTGGGCTGGAGTTCCGTCTTGTTGGAATGTCCAAAACTGATTTTTGAAATGCTTTTGAAGTGCAAATTTCAACTTTGAGGAGATCAAGATAGTTGCTAATAATAGATAATAAGCCACTGCACCCATAGTTATGGGTCACCCTGTATAAGCGACGCTAGGTGCATCAAAAATTTGGAAAAGGTGTGGTAACACTTCTCGAAATTATGATGTCGTAGAAAATTATTAGAGATTATTCTAACTTTAAATTGATGATACCTACCGGATTGGTCTTGACAAATAATCATTCGAAGCCGAGGCAAAAGCTGCGATTGGGAAAATGAAAATAATGAGAACAACGGACTAAATTTGAATTGAAAGACTCACACAAAGAACATTTCTTGCCGACATACCAAAAAAGAAGAAAAGAAGATGTATTTGTTGATGTCGTTCACCAATATCAAATTGACATCAACTTGGAAGATGTGCCAATTTTGAGCCGAACAATAATCCAAAACGATATGGATTACTGTAAAAGATATGGATTCTTGCATTTCTCATTCACCTAATCTCAAATACCTTCCAAAGCTAAAGTCAATCCCAAAACAATAAAGAAATCACGAAATCGATCGAGAAAGAGAAGAAAGCGCATCGAATCAAATATTTTGTTGAAAGAAATTGGCTAAATTTTCTCATGAAAGCCCTTTCATACGAATGATAATATGCATGAGAAAATCTTAACAAAATTGTACTTGGTTGAATAGTTGCTCTTTGTCTGAGGAAGTTTCCGAGAGGCCTAAAGTCTGATGGATCTTTTTGAACTGGAAAGAAAAATAACAAATCTCAAAAACAATCATTAGCTGGCACTGTGTAGATTAAGACATCCAAAAAGAAAGAGTCAGTAATGAATGAGCTCAAAACAGAATCCTAATCTCATTTTACTAAAGTTGCACGAGTATCAACGATTGTTATTGTTCTGATTGAAGCCCTGACGAGGTTTCTTCTCTTCAACGATCTCCAACCATTCTTAGCTCAATCATCTCATTTTTGTCTGTTCTGATTTGGCTGGAAAGACAAAATAATCCACATGAAGTGAACTCTTTTTGAAGTAAATTTAGACATTGAAAGCAGCTTTGTATGTGATGTTTGGAATCCCGAGGCACACGCCAACAATGGCGCCAGCCAAGCATTTGACGGATTTCTTTCTAAATTTGAATGTTGTAATCAATTTACCGATAGCGATTTACCGGCAAAAATGTGAATACAATTCTTTGAACATCCTGCTTGGACAAATTCCGTTTTCAAATTTGGTTTGTGCATAAGCCTTTCATAAATGTTTGAACTGTAAGGGCAAAGCGTTGATTCTCGTCTCCCAAACGCTACGGGGCTGCCGCTTGAAGGAGTCGATCTAATTTTTTCGACTTCCTCCGCAGCTCCAAAGTGTTCTTTGGCCAAATCAACAGCCATTCTTAAAAAGATCAAATCACTAGAAACCAAGTCAGGCGCATGCTGGAGAACTTCCAAGCCTAAAGTCTTCAGTCTTTCCTTAATCAAGTTTGCAATATGTTATCATGTTTCAAAATAACTTTGCTCATGGTTGGCCTCTTTTTACACTTCAGAAGCGACTCGATTCAATTGATCAACGTCTAGGGATACCTTGATAGTTGTCCCTTCTAGCAACTTCCAGTAAATAACTCCTTCTCTCCCACCAAATACATAACATGATCATCTTCTGGTGAATTTCGGGCCTGGGATCGGGCTTTGGTTTTTCACCTGGAGCAATTCATTGTTTATGTCTCCAAAATTTGACATAGGTTTCCAATTTTTCCGAAAAAGATCAAAAGTGATAACACGAGAGTAGATACAGACAGCTACTTACATTTCATGAGAGTTAAATTCCTATTGTTTCCAAGGAACGGCGCGCTTTCTAAAGCGTGGATGCGCTACCGTACCCCGCACAAAAATCCTTTTTGCCATTCCTGTCATTTTTCCGCATTTCATGATGGAATCTATCCAGCTTTTACGCCGAGTGCCGCTAAATTTTCTTCTCCGTTCGTAAAATTTATTGCTTTTGTAGCGCGTTTTTACGAGACTCTCTCTTTTCCCTCGTTCGTTCCCTCTCTTTTATATTATTTGCCCATAGTTTGTTGTTTAAATTTCTAATACGATTTTATTTTATTTTCTTTTCGGCTTCATCCACTCCATTGTTCTGAATCCGTTCATACATGCCGTATAAACTCAACTTAACCAATTCCTTTTAGATAAAACGCAAATCTAAATAATCTGCCACGGCGCGAGCTTGTTATTTCGTCTTGGGTTTCGTGTGAAATCATTTTAGAAAAGGATTGTAACGTCTAAATGCGTTAGATAAGGGAGCTAGTTACTAACTTGGACAAACAGCAGAATTTATTCATCTCAACACCTCTTTAATTCTTCATTTTTGCAATATTTTTTCTATCAGGAATTTCAGTTTTGTTCCTTTGCCAATTTGCTTGTTTTTATCTTATTTTAATCGTCAAAGATTTCAGTTATCAATCAAGAATGCTCACCTCGACTCAACAAATCTTCAAGTCTTTCAATTGTCCCAAATGTGACACACCATGTGAGTTGATTTTGAACTAAATTAATTAGGCTAACTCAATTCGAACCATTTCTGGAGTATTTTCAACATATTTCAAGTAGTACTACAGCGCATCTACTTGCTTTCCAAGTATAATCGGCTTTGAGTTTGAGTTGTTTTTTTGGCTAGAGTACGTCAGACTAGGCAAATTATCGGCTAGAATCATCAAAAGCCAGCTGGGGCCAGCCCAAAATTTGCCAAATACAGTTTACACTTTAAAACTTTTGAAGTACACAAAATGGGATGTAATTGCTTATTAAAAATGGTAGAAGTTTCTGTCACGCAATTACATTTTTTAGAATCGAAGACGGCAGGCGTAGAGAATACACCGGCGCAGACTAATTGCCTTGCTATTCAAGAAATTTGTATGGAATGTTACGAAAAGCAAAGAAAAATCGGTCGAGGAAATCCAAAGCATCAATGCGGTGAATGGGGTTGTTTTGATCGCAAGCCAACTCCATCGTATTACTTAATGGGTAAGATTTTTTCAAACAATAAAAATCTATGAAATCTTCTTTAAGGGCTGCTCGCAAGTGGGGCTTTCAAATTGGATCGACAAGGGAAAGGATATGTGCAAACAACCCAATCAATCACAATTCCGAAATGTCCGGTTTGCCATGAAGAATGTGGGTGATGCTTGGTTTTAAGAAAGCAATACAAGTTTAGTTTCGTTGAGAGACGCCAAAAATGAGCCATTTAGTCTCTATTGTGAACATTGTGGAAGGGCCGTTTTGAACCTGAATTCCATCTTCAAGGACAATGGCAAATGCCCACTGTGCCAAGCCAATAGTAATTATTCCAAGACATCGTGGGAAAATCCGATCTAACTGATTTTCAACCTATTCATTCATTTTTTGGTTGTTTTAGCTGTACAGGGTTGTCCAGGATTACGGAGGCTAGGGTTTTCTTTGATATTCATATTTTTGCTTTCAACCTAAATATAGTTTTTGTCTTTCTTTTCGTTTATTTTATTTTATTTATTTAACTATTTACTTACTATTTTTTCTCAAAAAATGTTTTGCTTTAGAATGGCCAAGAAGTCAGTGTACCGAGATACCGAGGCTTTCAAATGCGTCTTCAAATCGCTCAATTGTGCACTCTGTTCAACGCCGTGTAAGTTTTGCTTTAATTTCAAAGCTCATTATTTGTTTTATTAACTGTAACAAAAATGTACAGAATTGTATTTCAGACTCAAAAACGGCAAATGAAGTAAATGCACCGACACAAACTTGGTGTTCTGATATTCAAGCAGTGTGCATGGAATGTTATGAAGAACAACGAGCAATAGCCCCAGCGATTCGAGCACATCAATGCAAAGACCACAATTGTTTCGAGTACAAGAGGCGTCCTTCATATTGCTTGATGGGTGAGTAAACTTGAAAGTGATCAAAGAAAATTCACTTTGAAAAATGAACACAATCAGTTTGCTTTAGAATTGCTCTCAAGTGGGTGCTTTACGTTGAATCAAAATTTGATGGGATACGTTCAAACAACTCAATCAATCACAATTCCTGAGTGTCCGATTTGTAATGAAGAATGTGAGTGATTGCATTGTACACTTAGAAAATGATGAAACATTAGACTCAATCGAAAACTCACAAAGAGAACCATTCATCCTCTACTGTGGCCACGGGATATGTAATGGGTGTTTTGCTAAAATGTCTAAACCCAGAACCAATTCGATCTTCAAATATTGTCTCGTATGTCCACAATGCAAACTAAACGTTTCTTATGCTCAAGAATCATGGGAGAATCCATTGAAAAGTTCGTTGTTTTTATATCATCTTTGAATTAGTTCGAAACCATCGGTTTTTTCCAAACCAATCTCAAGACATCTTAGGAAAATCCGCTTAAAAGTTCGTTTTGGAAAGTGACAACTATTAGCAATATTAATACTAAAACATTGATCAATATAGCCTTTCTGCGAGAACTTTACGAGAAATCGGCGCAAAAAGATGATGAAATGAAAAGCATTTGTGAAGATTGTAGAAAAGAGGTTTGATTGAGATTCCGGTTGAAGAAAAGATTCTTTAGGTGCCTCTCCTCGAAATGTTTCAATGCATGGATTGTGGGGATAAAATGGTAGATGAATTATGATTAAATCAAAAGCGAGATCACTGCAGTTATGCCCTCGATGTTCTTGCAAGAATCATCGTCTTCATCAGATTATCGATCTTGAAGTTGTGGAGGTCGGCATAATTTAAGAGCTTCCTGGAGTAAATTGTACTAGCGTTTCAGGTGAAGAAACTGGGGAAAGTGGCTCGCGAAACGATCATAACACAAATTGGGGCCTACAATGTCTGTTTCCCGGAACTTCAATCGGATTTGATCAAGAATTTGACTGAGTGCCAAAAGGTGAAAACTTTGATTAGAAGAAGTTGATGAGCCTGTGTTTTCAGAAAATTCTCAGTCGAGCCGATCAACTCGGTTACCTCAATGGATTTGCAAAAGCAAAGGAGCAACAGGAGGCTTGCATGTGAGTTTTTAGGCGGTCAAATTAATCAAGATTGCACATAAAACAAGAAGTTTTGATTACTGTAACTTTTTCCGAGAGTTTGTCAAGCTAGAGGTTCCACCTCGCACAACGGGTACGACGAACTGTAAAAATAAAAGTCGTAGTACTCGAAAATCCAAACAATGACTTTTTAAAGTTGCTACCCAGCTAGCATAAAAAACATTCTTTCATAGAAATCCCTCTACTTGAAAAAAAGTTATTTCAATGATCTTTTACACAGCACAATGCTATTGCATTTTGTCCAATATAAATGAGATAGAGATTGGTTTTATACGGATTTATAAAAAAAAGCGATCACTTTTCACGTCACACCGTTTTTCAATCGTTTTCTCGACTCATTTTGTGATTAACAATTTCATTTGCCAATTTGCTGTAAGGACTTAATGCTCTGTAGAAGTTTCTTTTCAACGTGCCGCAACAAATTCGAGACAGAAGGAGAATCTGCGGTCTCCAGATTATGCTGTGTAAAATTGAAATAACTTTTTTTCAAGTAAAAAGATTTCTATGGAAGAATGTTTTTTATGCTAGCTGGATAGCAACTTTAAAAAGTCATTGTTTGGATTTCTGCGTTCTACGATTTTAATTTCGTACTCGATGTGCCCCAGGCCAGGCACAGGCTAGCTATGTTCTCCCATTGTTAACAGGAAATATCCCAAAAGCTTTTTCTATTCTTATTGTTCATTTTGAGGGCATTTGGCGAGAGATTCGCGAAGATTTACAAGAAATATTTGGGTGAATTGCGGTCAGTCAACACCGGTATTGAGGTGGGTGCATTTGACATAGGGAATTGGTTTTAAAATTGAGTCAATCAAATCCATGTAACACTCAATTTCTATTCAAAACTCTCAACCTGTTGTTTTCATATAATCTGAATTCGAAAATGGCGAAAGTGGCAAAACTAAACGATTCAGAAGCTCATCGATGACATCAACGAGTCGCCAAAATGAAATGGAAATCTTTGAACTTTCTCTATTCTAGCATTTTTCACTCTTACTCAAGTTTTGTCAATGCAAACTCAGTTTCATTTATTTATTTTTATTTTTGTTTTAGTCTAGAACTTGTTCACTTTCGCAATTGGCAAGATAAGCAATCAACATTTCTCTCAACTAACATTTCGTTGTGTGTTATTGCCAAGTTTTCCTCTAGTATTATCTTAATTTCTTGCTGATTTTCATGAATTCATTAATTGCAAAGAATAGAAATTTGCAAAGAACAAGTTGTGCTATGGTTTGAAACAATATGAGAGTTTGACAATCAATCAAAGATTGGTCAAGTGTACGACCAAAAGCGCCAGCGGTAAAATAGCTGATAATTTTTGGGAAAGTGTGAATGGCCAAAAACTGTCAAAGTTTTTGAATAGTTTCTAATTTCCTCTATTCTAAAACATTTATAAATTTCATTAGTATTTCATCCATGAGCGCCTCGAGGAGCAGGACCGTTTGCAGAATGGCGTTGAGCATGGAATTGAAGAGGAGCATTTCGACACTTTCCCCCAAATCCCATCAACCTCAAAAGAAGAGGGCAATGAGCATTTGGGTAAAAATGAATGAGCTATGCTGAAAAATCTAAACTTTGAGTCACCGCTAACGTTACTCCGACAAACGCGCAGCAGATCAATTTTCTTTTGCTAAATGAGGTCTGGCGATACTTTGTGCTAAAGAATTAATAAACAAACCCTTTTGATGGACTCAAAATTGAAAAATTTGTCCTCACCAAAAATTGTGAATCGAATCTATCTTGACCATTCGGATCTTTGTGATTTTTACTAAAAAAATATTCTTTTGCATTTTTTTTGCATCAGATATAACATTTTGGCATATAATACTTGTCAATATTTTTTAAAATTAACAAGAAAACCCTGTTTGAGAGCGTCGGATCGGATCAAACGGATTTTTATTTTTAGGAGATTTTGCCATGTATTAGATGTCAAAATGTAGCCTATAAAATGTTCTATCTGATGCAAAAAGAATTAGAATAATAGCTTTTTCGGTAGAAATCGCAAAGAATGTGATCCGATTCAAGAGTAACATATGCATTGTAATAGAGTTAAACTGAAGCGTTCTAGATCAAAATCAGGTTTTAGCGTCCGATTTGAAAACCAAATCAAAGCGTGTTTTGTCTTGGCCTGAAAAAATTGGCTCTGAAAAAAAAGCCTGTTTAGTAGCGATGAACTCATCTCATCCCATTTTCAAGCAACAAGGAAACCAAAAGAAGGAGGTTCTCGTCTCGGTTTCATGACTCCTGACCCTCGTCGCGACGCTGCAATCCTCTGACCGCTGATCCAGAAGTTTCACTGACCCGGGATCCACAATCCACTGCAACTTTAAGGGTTTTCGACCTTTTTACTCCAGTCAGATGAAGACTTTAGTCAATGGCTTCAAGATACCGGACTTCTTCACCGCAAAAGAATGTGTCTAAACTGTCGAAACGACGACAGGAAGCGTTACGTTACCCGTTAGGCTACCTCGCTGCCTCAAACCTACCTCACGGTCAATCATCAAATCAATTTCGTGAACCCGATGACCGGATCACACACACAGAACGTCGAGAGCCAGTGGTATTGGTTCAAAAAGATGATCAAAGCCAAACATGGCATCAACACTCGAAGCAATGATCGATACACCGACTACTTGGACGATTTCATGTGGCATCAACAGTTTGGTGATCATCGTTCCACTTTTTGTCGCAAGTGCAACAACTTTATCCGCGCCTTAAAGAAGCTCGAAGTGAATAGCTGAAGAAGTCGTCTTACTGTAGCTAAGATTTCTAGGTGTTTTGTATAAATCTATTGTACAGTTGCCTCTATAAATGTAATATGGGGGAAAATATTCGATTTGATATGCTGTGTTAGTGTTAAATTGCGAATACCGCAAATTGACAGCGCCAAAGAACGTCAAAGATCACCTCACCTAATCAATCAACCCGTTTTGAAAAGAAAAGAAAAGTTTTGGGTATTTTTAGCATGGTGATGATTTAAGAAAAACTCTCCAACAACCCAAAACTCTCTCCCATCAATAATCCTCCTTTTTCCTCAAAGCAAAAGCTTAGTACTTATCATTTTTGCTTTCACCCTCTCTCTCACTTCTAAAACACTTCTTCACCAATTCCCCACTAACCAACCAACAAAATGATCAATCGATTGAAGCTTCTTCCTCTCTTCAACTTTTTCTCTCTCTACTTTGTCCAATCAATTGATTTCATCTATCTAAATGCATCCCTTCCCCTCGTGTTCATCGAAAAGAGCGATGGATGGCCCGATTACTCAATGCAGCCCAAAAATGTCATCTATGAGCTGACCCCGTTGAATGGTTTGTTTTCCCATCAATTATCATAATCAATTTCGAAAGTATTAGACTTCGACAACAAATTGATATCAAAACATTTAACTCTTATCAAAACAAAACGAGTTAAGACGAGCTCTTCTTCGTCTCACCACAAATCCAACAAATCACCGGTGGATCGTTGCGGTTCGAGTTTACGATCACGAATCGTTTCCACGACCAGCCGCTACTCAACAAAACTCTTGAGTTTGAAGAAAATTTGGTGAAAAACAAGTGTCTCTTTTTGTTCAGAATCACCGAAACGAGTCCAAGTGAAAACTGCTATTTCGTGGCCACCACTATTCAGGTTTTGACAACCGATAGATCAATAGTCTAAATTATTGGGTTGGGGACTATGACTCGGCGCCAAACTTTAAAGACACTTTTTGAGATAAAAGCCTTCTTTAAATATACGTTTTCTTTTATCAAAAGGATCCACTATTTCTCTACAAAATGACTTTTGAGAGATTCCACAAAGCTTTTCTTTCGTGGATTTTATGAACTTCCAAACACAGCTGATCAAAATGGCAAAGAGTCCGACTCATCGTTTGAACAGTTTCTTGCACATAAACCTTCTTTGGTGTCTGTGTAAAAAAAGATAGAGCACATTCAATTACATAAGTTGCCAAATTTGCAGGAAGATCCCTTCAACCGTTTTTTCTAGATGACACTTTGTAGTTTTTGTGAAAAAATGGCTTTTTTCTTGAGCGGAGGCGCTGTTTGAATTTTCTTTTAAATGTCGTTTTGTAGAGAATTAGTTCACTTTCCTAATGATATCAAACACGTATCATTTGACGAAGTCTGCTAGAAGTTTCAGAAATTTTTTTGATTTTCGGCGCCGAGTCATAGTCCCCAACCCAATATAATGATTTCCCGAACCTTTCCACAATTATTTGTACCATTAAATATCATTTCAATAGCTCTATTCAATGATGAAAAGAACTCGTTAAAAAGTTGGCTTTAAGGAGGTCAATGTGTGATTTCCGTTTGACACCTATTGACGTCTACACACCAAAATTCTGGGATCTAGTCTAAATTCTAGAGTTCTGAAGAGTTTTCTTATCAATTAGATAATTCTTTCAATTTTCTTATCAATTGAACTCTGCAACCTGTTATATGCTATTCAAAATACTCAAAAGCAAAAGCCTTGACACAATGTTTTTGCTTTGCGATCCATTAGTCGACATCACAGCTCACAAAACACGCAAACCCGTCAACGCTTTCGTCCTTAAAATTTCTCCACTCTTTCATTGATAAAGAAAATCTTCACACTATTTACCTCACTTCGTGAAAAAGCTCTCAAGAAAGGAATCTTTGCAAAAGCAGAAAGCTTATTGTTCAAGGAGAAGTTTCGTGATTGAGTTTTGAATAAAAAAAGTAAATCTATAAACCTCAAACTGTTTTCAATTTCAGTTGTGGTGGACGGCGAATCCGAACCGATCCGACAACTCGTTCTTTGCTAATTTCGTCCTCGACGCGAGTGTCACCGACGAGAAGTTGTGCTCATTTCAAGCATTGCCGCGAAAAGCCCAAACAGTTTTGCGTTCCGGAATCACCACCGCCAGTCTCTACTTGTTGCTGCTGATCCCGATTTGTGTGTCGTCTTATTTGCTGAAAACTTTATTCGTGTGAGTCAAGCATGTGAATGGACCGGTCCCGGTTTCCTAAAGATCCTAGTTTCCTAAAAAGCCGCTTCAAACCCTCATAACAAGCTTGGTATAAGTTTAGCCCTCGACGTGAATATTTGTAGAGTTGTAAATACAGGGTGCGACATATATTGTGTTGCGCTTAATGCATCTTTTTGACTTTCTAAGACTAATACATTAGCCTAAGCTGAAAAACCACGATTAGTCATGAAAACCTATGCGTAATTTTACATAGAATTGAAGAACCGTAACATTTTTAATGACTTTGACAGCCCTAGCCGAGTACAAAAAATGCTATGCGGCACAATGCTGAAAAACAGTTAAATTCGAGTTTGGGGCCTCTAAAGAATCTTTTTGCGTCTTTTTCTGCATTAATACGTTTTTAGAGTTAATTACTAAGTAAAGTAAATGTTTTTGGAGCTTCATTATTGCAAACGCGAGGTTATCTTGGGCACATTTTTGGCAAATCTCATTTTTTCGAGAGCAGCAATCGCGTTTAAAGTCTTATATGAAGCGAATGAAGTTCTAAATTTTTACACAAACTCATGAATCGAGGGGAAAAATGTCCGTAGATTTTAAATATCTAAATGAGAAAACTGTCAACTCTTTTTGTTTTTTGAGAAAATCATACTTTTGTAGCGTGCAGCATTATGCCGAACTCTGTATTATTAGCAAATTTCAGCTTCCTACTTCGATTTCGACCCAAAAAAGCTCAAAAAAGCACAAAAGAAATCGATCGTCTGGCCCACAATCAACAAGGCGTGCTCGGCGCTCACGAGTTTGCAAAACGTTTTCCATTAATTTTAGCAAAAATCTTTCAGTTCCGTTTCGGGGAGCCAATGGGAAATCGATGAGAAATCGTTGACAACAAAAGAATTGATTTCGAAGAGCGCAAAAGCGACCATAAACCGAGGCTCTTATTACGGAAAGCTGCAGCATTATGAAGTGGTTTGTGGTTGACTTGTTGTAGAAAATGAT